TTTGCGTTTTTATTACGCAAAGATTTTATTTTATTTTGGTAAATTGGTCAATATTATTGGGTAATTACGCAGATACGCTGCTTATCTGTGGCACTGATTTAACCTTAAGTGAGTGAGTCTGCTTTAACATCAAAAACTACACTAAATAACCAAATATTTCGCTCCCCTTATATACTAAAATACTTTACGCCTAAGACTTAATAACTTAATAATTCATAGAGTATATATGCATTTGTGGACAGCTAAACAATTAAATAACCCATTATGTTTGCACGATCTAAAGTACAAAAGGTACAATTCCCGCTTAAGTGATGACAGGCCTATTAATTAACTAAATTAAGCATAGTGTTCGTGACAGCTCATTAAATTTAATATATATCCTTCTATGCATACCTATGTATTGTTAACTAATTACCGGCTAATAACCGTTATCCTACACCCCGCCCCGGGGGCCTGTAGACAGGTGTGCGATTTCAGGGCCATCATGGCCCTCTTGTTTCTAGATTGCATGTGTTTACTCATTTCATTTATGTTGATGAGAGTCATGACAGCTTTATCTCTGTTGTTATTTTATCCGTTTGATATCTTTATGATGAACATGTCAAAATGAACAAAAGGGTGGGGATAGACCCATGGTGTAAGAGTGTTATACTTGGGTTAACAGATGGGTGCACTAGAAAGGGATGGCTTTGTAAATAAATGTATCCAAAATGTTAAGTTGCAAACAATACTGATTAAAGAAAGGGGAACATAATAAAGTGATTCCTTTCCTGATTTATATTGCAATTTTTATTTAGTAAAAATTGATAATAATTATTTGCACAGTTGCAAACAAGGTTTATAGCAATGTGAATGGCGGCTAGGCTGGTGGGTGGGCAGGCGCCAGACTGGCGGGGAAAAATGTGTAACAGTTTTCATATTAACTACTTATCACAGCCTAGTGATATTTTGTATTCAGCATTACCATGTGCACACAAACGGTGAGATTCGACTTAAGGTCTTTGGCTAATCCACGTCCTGCTTACCGACTTACTTAAATTTTCGCCAGTAATGACCAATGGTAGGAAATTTCAGTAACATTTTTCTCAGCAACTACTTATCACAGCCTCTTGATATTTAGTATACAGCATTAACATGTCGTCACTTCAACTAAAGGTCTTTGGCTAATCCTCTTCCTGCTTACCAACTTAGTTTTCGACATTATTGGTCAATGGAAGAAAATTTTCGTAACATCACAGCTTCATGATATTTGGAATATAGTTACAATCCGACCATTTCTGTCTTTTACCAATTTTTCTATGATTATTATTATGTTAATTTTGTGTAAAAAAACTACATGATTGTGATTGAAATCAGAGAAAGCATTTTTGTGAATATAAAGATATACTGCTAACCTTCAAAGTCTTATTATACTCCACCACAAAATGTGGAAAGGGGGGACTATAATGAATTCGCTTTGTCACGTCGGTCCGTCCGTTCGTGTCCGCTCTATAAATCCTATACCAATTGAAGGATTTTCGTCAAACTTGGCTCAAATGTTCACCTCAACAAGGGGATGTGCAGAAACACATGTTGCCCATGTGTCAGCTCAAGGTCAAGGTTACAATTGAAGGTCAAATATTTAACAATCAAATATTAGACAGTATGTTGTGTCCGCACTGTAAGTCCTACACTAAATGAAATATTTTTTTCAATCTTGGCTCAAATATTCACCTCAACAAGGTTATAAGCAGGTTATCATGTTACCCATTTGCCGGCTTAAGGCCAAGGCAACTTGAAGGTCAAACATTGACTTGGAAATTATTCTTAAATTTTAACATGTATTTGAATATTTCTGAAACTAGAAAAGGTATTTGCTTGAAGCTTAAAATATATTGAGTGTCACAATTTAGATATGCAGGTCAAGTATCATCACTCTGTTTTGCATTTTGACAAAGTTATGCTCCTTTTTAAGTCTTCAAATTTACATACAATCAAATATTAGACAATATGTCGTGTCCTATACTAATGGAAGAATTTCAAAGTTTAGTCAAATGATCACCTCAACAAGGTTATGTGCAGAACCCATGTTACCTTTGTGCTGGCTTAAAGATCCTGTATGTTTTGTGATTGATATTGTTACTGTGTGTAAACCACACTTGCAAAAAAATATATATGTATATGATTATGCAAAAAAAAACAATTTTCAAACATCGAAGAATATGTAAAATGTGTACTGCAAATATTTGTGCACATTATATTTAATCAATCAATTACATGTATTCATTTCTACAGGATCTTTAAGGTCAAGGTCACACTTGAAGGTAAAAAATTGACTTAAATTTTATCATGTACTTGAATATTTCTTAAGAAATAATCATTTGAAACTTCAAATATATACAAAGTGTCGCAAGTAAGATTTGCAGGTCAAAAAATTGACTTAAATTTTAACATGTACTTGAATATTTCTTAACAGATAATCATTTGAAACTTCAAATATATACAAAGTGTCGCAAGTAAGATTTGCAGGTCAAGTTTCATAACTAAAAAAAGTGCGGGGGGATAACTTATATTGCATTTTGACAAAGTTAAGTCCATCTTTATGTCTTTAAATTTATTTACTATAATATTTCTTAAACCAAAACAGATATTTACTTGAACTTAAAATTTATATTAGTGGTTACCAGCAAGCTCAGATGACAAAATTCAAAAATCCCATTGAATTATAACACAAGTTATGCCCCTTTTAGGCTAAGAAAATGTTCTGATATAGCCATTAATACTTACATGTTTCTGAAACTAGAATAGATATTCACTTGTTTATTCAATTCATAATTTATCACAATATCTCTACTGCTAAAGAACTAACTTAAATATTTCAGGCACATATGGACATTTATTTTCCCATTTATTTCAACTTTAATATATAAAGATACTGTATACTTAACAGTACATGTAAATATTTCATTAGACACTCCATAATTACCACTAATAAATATTTAATAGAAATTTACATTTACTTTAATAGCTCTGAAACACTTGAAACTATATAATATTTGAAGGGTCACAAGTAAGCTCAGTGTGCAAAGTTTTTCCACTCTTAATTACATTTTGACATAATAATGCTATTGTCTTAACTTCACTGCTTTTGTTTGTTTTAGTACACTGGGAAAATGAAAGGTTATTTGTAACTGTTTCGAACATGATTTGACAACATATATTACCTGTACAGTTTGTCTTTTTTTCACCAGAAATAATTTCTTTTTATGTATATGTATTTGTTCCACTAAAGTTGTTCCCTTAACCACCTTTCCAAGTCGTCTACTGTCAAGGACATTGGTGGAGGTATGAGTCGCATTCAGCGATAGTTGTAGTTATTATTTAGGGTCATAATATACACATTACATTTCTTGTTGGAATTTAATTCAAGGTCACTCTCAAGACCTATAACTATGGCATAGATTTTGAACAAAATCAGGCCCTTTCTGAATTGAACAAAAGTCTTTGGCCAATATCCAAGACTCATTACTATATATCATGTACATGTACATGTTTTGGAATGAAATCTTCCTTTATACTGATTCTTACATTATCCAGCTATTTTACTTTATTTTATGCTTTTCAGTGGATTACTGATTTATCCGTGAAAATTATATAATATAATATAATTTCACACTTTTAAATGACGAAACTACTTTCTTAAGATTTTCCCCATGTGGTACCTCAATTTTATTTTTGCTGACAATTCTGACAATGTCAGGCTGTTCAGAGAAAACCAAAGCTGAAATTGATAAATGACTTAAATGTCAAAAGTAATAAAAAGAAGAAAACTTGCTTCTATTTATTCAAATTACCAATCACCAAATATCGTCTCATATTTTTTGTTACATTTTTACAGTCTGAAAAATACCTTCCTTCCACATGCAAAACTGCTCTTAATGACATTTGGGCATATTTAAGTATCCTACGAGCAATAACTGCCGTATGCTTTATGATAATTTGAAAAGCAATGTCACAGCCATCAGCCCGAAGAATAAGTTAACCCAGCGTTCCTTAGGCAGCCTTTCACTTCCATTTTCTTAGCAGCTTTATGAATGTTTACACTTCTGTCAACACTTATTTAGTGTCTTTTACAATCCTCAAATAGGTTTTCTTTCTTTTAAAAAGGTGTATGACTAACAAATCCAAATGATATTATTCTGAATCAAACACAATTATTTTCCTCCCGTGAAATACACAACTTTAAAAATGGCGGCCGTTTACATCTAACAAAGCCAAGTCTAATATAAATTTGCAGTTAAGTAACAGAAATATTGATGGATGGTTGGACTTTTCCTCCTACTAGAATTGTTTGTTTTTATTATTTAAACAAGCAATCATTCAATTTTTTTTAATAAAATGAATAATATCACCGCCATTTAACGTTCACTTGATTGTCGACTTTTTTTAGCCCAAGACTTCTTGTATTTAATGAGAAATTCGACTAAAATGAGGCTCTCAATGGGGAAAACAGATTTTAATATTAACGTTAATATATAGGAAATTTCGTTTTAACTTGTTTTTAAGCATAAAATAAAAAGAAAATTTGTTTGTTTGTTGTGTAAGATGTAATTTTATTTCATCTCGTGAACTTTAAAAACAGTATTCTCACTCGTGGCTACGCCACTCGTTTAAAGCCAATTCGATGAAATAAAATTTCATCTTACACACAAACAAATATCCTATATATCACACACTAAAATGATTAAGCAAATTGTCATACTGACAACTCTTGTGTTTAAACATGAAAACTCCGGTCGCATATTTCTGCATGTAAATGGAAATTGTATTTGGTAATCAGTTGAAGAAATTTAATGTTTATCTTGAATACTATTGTCTTAAAATCAGGTCATAAACGATTTACTGTGTCTTGGCAAGCCAAGCAAAGATTAAAAAAATATGTTAAAGGCCAAAATTTGTATTTCACTGCATTAAAAGCTGAAAATTTTCAAACAAATTAAACATTTTATTCGTTATTCAAGTATTTATAATCAATTTATACTGCTACATGTATACATAGTAAACCAAACACCCAACATCGTAAATTACATCTTACGAAAATGGCGCAGTATAACCAGTAATGTGTCAGTGTCACTGTTAAACCCAAACAAATAAACCTAACATTAACATTATGCATCTGTTGAATATGATATTTCAAAATTTCACGTTGCCATTTGGGCAAGTAGTTTTGTTAAATTAGTAATCCAATGATTGCTGGTCTCCTGGTTTTAAACTCTGTCAGTGACTAGCCTTTGTTTCTTTCAGCAGAAACTTATAATTTGTTACTAATCACTGGTTGGTTTCAGGAATAGATTCAATAATCTAGAGTGTGTATATAAGCTTATAGCTTCCTTCCCAATCAAGTTAAAATAAATTCTGTATAAACTAAAATTATATGTGCTATATTTAAGTCAAGTGTTTAAGATTATGACCCTTATTCTACTGCAATATGTGCAGTAGGATGACTGCTTGTTGATGAGTCTCTGTGTAAGAATTATTATTGTTTATTCTAGTGACACATTGAATACTTTGATTTTGTTTGGCATTCCAACAAATAATCTCTTGGTATTTGGGCAGTATGCAACACTCCTTGGTTGATCTAATCCATCATTTTTATCTACCAAGATCTTCACTTTAGTGAGGTCACTTGATAATTGATGGATATTTCCAGAGTGAAAACCACACACATATACTGATCCATATTCATCAACAGCAAGTTGATGAGGTCTTTTCAATTGATCATCCTTGTAGACAGCCTTCACCTTACCATCATAGTTCAAACAAGTCACAGTGTGTTCTTTTCGATCAGAAACATATATCATAGTATTGTCAGGGCTGACATTCAAGTACCAAGGTTTAATAAACAGCTTCTGACCATTATCATCTTTGTCAAATGTTTTCACTACTTCACCTGACATACTTAAAATCTTAATACTAGCAGGATTCCAATATGAAACTACAAGATAGGGATTCCTATAGGCAATACCAGTACAATATCCATTTCCTGGTATCTTAGTGATATCTAAAACTTTCATATCTTCTGAAAATGTTATCATTCTGATCATTCTTTTATCTGGAAATGTTACAGCAACTTTATAATCTGAAACTTTTGTAATACCAAATGGTTTTGCATCAAATTTTATGTCATCCATGTAATTTGCATGTGACGTTCCTACATCGTATATGATTACCGGTATGCTAAATTTTGTATAATATGATATTAGAAGTGTTTGTTCAGATAGGACAAGTAAAGAGGATATGAGGTCAATGTCACATTTGATATCAAAATTAAAGACAACTTTTCTTTCTACAGCTGATTCTTCTACAAATGTAAAAAATATTGTATCACTCTCTAGAGATAGTTCTGTTGGTTGAATGTTGAACATTTTGAATTTGTAGTGTTGTATGTAGGCTTGTTGTATTTGTTCAATGTTACGATGAAGGTTTCCACACAGTTGTTTTGTAGACTTCAATTTGATAAAATGTTTACAGTTTTGACCTAGTTTCTGGGTCTGTTCTAGATCAGCAGTAAGAACCTCCAAATTTTCAACCAGATTCAAATGTTCTGACTTGAGTACCTTAAATTCTGTGTTTGAGCTAACAACCTCTTCTTTCATATCTGTTTCAGCTTGTGTTATCTTGTTTTTAAATTTTATCTCCTTTTCAGATAACTCTTGAACTAGTTCTAACCTTTCTTTCTTCAACCTTGCAATGGTCTCTTCCATCTTCTTATCAAAATCATCAATGAGATCTTGATGTTGTTGTTTGAAGGCTTCTACTAGTCTATCTTTGTGCTTCTTGCATGCTTCAGTTGCCTTTTCTTCTTGCTTTACAACCACTTCACTTTTGGCTTTCAACAGCTTTTCTGTGTCTTTTATGTCAGCAGACAATTTATCCAAGTTCTGTTGAAGATTTTTTAAGTCATCACTGTTTTGTATGCCTGAAGCAAGGGTTGGTAAATGGTTCACATTACTACATTTTACATGCTCATTATCCTTGCATAGTTTGCAGGCTTCTATGCAGCACTCAGAACAGTAAAACTTGATCAGCTGTTTAGGATGAGCGGAACACTTTTCTAAATAGAAATCATGTGGCATATTGTCACTGTCTTGAACTTTGTGACTTTTGAAATGTCTTCTATGATATTCTTTGCAGGTCTTACATTTATATTCCACACAATCCACACAAAAAGCCACAGCTGTAGCATATTCTCCAGTGTGGCTATCACATTCTTCACAGTACATTTCTTTAATTTCATTAGAGTCTTGTGTATGTGATGCACTGAAGTTGGTAGCCATTTTATTTAATGTCTAAATTTCCTAAAAAATGTCTAATTTTCCTTCCTAACACTGATTGTTCATAGTCTTTTACTTAAAAGAATGCAATTTGTATAAATAGTGATCTATAGAAATATTTGAATTGAGAATATTATATTTCAGCTTTTGAAAGATATATTATATCTATCGTTAGATCAATGGATCAATATTTCATTCTTTTGTTCATTTGGTTGTAAAGTAAATACAGCATTACAGTTGAAATATGCGCTTGACTAAATTCTTTGTCAAGTTATTATATAATCTCTACAATACTGAAAGTTATTTGAAGTTGAAATATGCACTCTTTAAAATTCATATTAATGTGGAAATGTTATAATATTAAAAAAAGTGAGACTTCTTATTTACTGAAAGCTTGATAAATTGCACACTGTAAAATAAAATTAGATTTTATAGCCTCTTAAAAAATTTACAAACAAATACAATATGGTAAATATAGCACCTCATGTAATACAGTATAGCTAACTGGTAAGTCTGTGTACAAATTGTACAGCTTTTTAGTTAATAGTAAAGACAATTTAAGTCTTTTTCAATTTCATTTGTTTTATTGTTGACCAAATCTCACCTACAAGTATTTGAATTTCTCTCTTAACTTAAATCTCACCAAGTGGAATTTTAACAACAATAATAACCGTGCTACTGAATTTCAAAGAATTTTTACTTTTGAGTCTCAGGTTGAGATATTTTTCAGCACTTAACTTAAAGTAGAAATATGCAAATATTAAACCTTATGAATAAGGTTGAAATAATTTCACAAAATTTTGGTGTTGTGAAAATATCTGATTTTACAGGCATTGGTTTCATTCTGATAAATAGATTAAAGTAGCTAAAATTTACTCAAAGACATGTTTTTAAATCTCTGAAGAAACTACACGCCCAAAGTTTTTGGCATGAAGCATAACCTTCTTGTCCTATAAAAAGTTAAATATGTTACCCTTGTTGGTCGTTCTTATGTTTTGTCACATGTAGGTCTAAAAGTATTTGTGCTAGGCTCAACACAATTTACAGAAATGTTGATCAGTATGTGAAGTTTTTCACCTTGGGTTCCACCTATGGACTTATTGTGTTTTTATCAGAGTTATGGCCCTTGTCTTAGTAAAAATTAGCAATTTTCAATTTGTGCCTTGTGTAGCTCAAAAAATATTTGACACAGAGATTGAACTTTACAGGCATGTTGATCAGCATGTGTAGTTGTGCACCTGGGGGTTTGCTTGAGGATTCATAGTTATTGCCCTTGACTTAGTAAAATTTTGCAATTTTCAACTTAAGTTTCCTTTTAAGCTTAGATATTTTGTGCGTATTATTGCCTTGTGACTTCTAGAAAAGTATTATAAATTATGCCCAATCTGGGTTATGTTAACGTTAAATAGTTATATAAATAGTTATATAACTTTAAAAGCTATAATGCACAGAGCTTAGATATTTTGCATGAAGCCGTATCTTCTTGAATAATCTTTTTCTCTGAACCCACAAAGGCTAGAGCTTGGGATATCAAGGTATATTATATTTATTTTGAGGATATAATTATACTTGGTCCATAATGATTTAAGGTAGGGAAAATATCAATTCAGAGTCAGTTGTAGTTGCTGAAACGGGATTTTATGTACACAACCATTTTATACACAACCACTTCGTTAACAACCATAAGTATATATATTTCATCCATTCACTTTAATTGTGTGAATGTAGCATTTTTAGGTAGTGTTTAAGTGATAATTCAAATAAACAATTTGAAAGTACATTACAATATTCAATTTCAGTTTCTGAGTGTTTAAATTAACTGCGTTTATGAATAAATGACACATTAATTAAAAAGTGATTCAATGATCTATGTCTGTTGATGACATGTTATGAGTTTACCAAGCAACATTGGTTCTCAGATGAGACATTTCAGGCTAATATGGCACTTTTTTTAATACAAATGTTTATTTAAGCCCACAGCAAAATTATTTTAGCTCACATGTCACAAAGTGACATGGTAAGCTTTTGCCATCGCTTTTTGCCTGGTGTCCGTCCGTCGTCCATCTGTAAACTTTTACTTTAACATGTTTAAATGTCATCTTCTCAGAAACCGCTAAGCCAATTTCATCCAAACTAGGAATGTTCCTTTGGTAGTCAACTTTAATTTTTTCAAAATAATTTAATTCCATGGAGAACTCTGGTTGCCATGGCAACTGAAAGAATTTTTTTTTTAAAAAAACCGAAAGAGCTAGAGCTTAAATATTTGGCATGACACATTGTCTAGTCAGTGTCTACCAATTTTGTTCAAATAAAAGCCCTTGGGTCAAAATTGGTCCCACCCCTGGGGGTCATTTATTTTCCAAAACCCAAAGAGCTAGAGCTAAGATATTTTGCATGAAACATCTTCTTATGGGTGTCTATCAAGTTTGTTCAAATAAAGGCCCTTGGGTTAAAATTGGCCCTGCGGGGGGCAGAGTGGGCATTGTTTTTCCCTATATGTGTTTAGTAAAAACTTAAAAAACTTTTAAAAACCCCAAAGAGCTAGAGCTTCAGTATTTATCATGAACAATCTTCTAATGGGTGTCTACCAAGTTTGTTCAAATAAAAGCCCTGGTGTTAAAATTGGCGACGCCCCGGGGGGGGGGCTATATGCAGATGAGCGATTCAGGGCTATCATGGCCCTTTTGTTTATATGTAAAAGCCGTTTACATTTGTTTCTGTTTATGGCAATTTAAGATTGTATTAGTAATCATTGGAGGACATTAAATTTAATCTTGTTCATGTATATAATAAAAATGTTCAAGTCTAAGTTTAGTTTATAAACAATGCACTAAGTTAATTTAGCAAAGATTTAAAAAAAGACTAATTCAAAAGGCTAAGATAGCTCTTTCCTCAAATTTTCTCATATTTTAATGCCTCTTTTAAAGATTAAAAGATTTGCTAGTACAACAAACATTATTTTCCATCATATAAGTATTTTCAGTTTATACAGTGAATTGTTTGCAAAAAATTATACCTAACATTGACATGTTACTCCTGCTGAATATGATGCTCCAAAATTCAATGTCATATGGCTAAGTTGCTATTTTTCACCTGAGGCGTTTACGCGAATTTATGATTTTTGGCAGTCACCTCCGCGAATTCGAAATAGAGCAAATATTTGTATAGACCCCCAGACGGACCTTTCCGTGAAATTATGCTTCCGCAAATTCAAATACACATACAGTATTGCTTATAATTGATCACGAGTCTCTGTGTAAGAGTTGATATTGCCTATTCTTCTAACACTTTGAAAACTTTAATTTTATTTTGCATTACCACAAACAATCTCTTGGTGATTGGGCAGTATGCAACACTCTCTGGCTTATCTAATCCATCATTTGTATCTATCAAGATCTTTACTTTAGTGAGGTCACTTGATAATATATGGATATTATCGGATACAGCTCCACACACATATACTGAGCCATATTCATCAACAGCAAGTTGATAAGGTAAATTCAAATGATCATCCTTGTAGACAGCCTTCACTTTACCATCATGGGTTAAACAAGTCACAGTTTGTTTGTCGAGATCAGAAACATATATCATTGTATTGTCAGGGCTGACAATCAAGCCCCAAGGTTTAATAACCAAATTCTGACCATTATCATCTTTGTCAAATGTTTTTACTATCGTACCTGACATACTTAGAATCTTAACACTAGCTGGATCCCAATATGAAACTACAATATAGGGATTCCTATAGGCAATACCAGTACAAGTACCATTTCCTGGTATCTTAGTGATATACAAAACTTTCATATTCCCTGAAAATGTTATCAGTTTGATCATTCTTTCATTTGGGAATGTTACAGCAACTATATAATCTGAAACTTTTGTAATATCAAATGGACTTGTTTCAAATTTGATGTCATCAATGCAATTTGCCTGTGACATTTCTAGTATGTATATGACAAGGCTACATTTTTTCCAGTCTAATATTAGAAGTGTATGTTCAGATAAGACAAGCAAAGAAGATATTAGGTCAATGTGAGAGTTGATATCAAAATTAAAGACAACTCTTCTTTTTACAGCTGATACTTTTTCAAACATGAAAAATCTTGTTCCACTCTCTAGAGTTGGTTGAATGCCAGAGGTTTTGAGTTTGTAGCGCTGGATGTAGGCTTGTTGAATTTGTTCAATGTTTCGATGAAGTTTTTCACAAAGTTGTTTTGTGAACTTCAATTTAATAAAAAGTTCACAGTTTTTACCTAATTTCTGGGCCTGTTCAAGATCAATAGTAAGAGCCTTCAAATTTTCAACCAAAGTCAAATGTTCTGACCTGAGTTCCTTAAATTCTGTGTTTGTGCTAACAATCTGATCTTTCACATCTGTTTCAGCGTTTGTTATCTTGTTTTTAAACATTCTCTCCTTTTTAGACAAAACTTGAACTAGTTCTAGCCTTTCTTTCTTCAACCTTGCAATGGTCTCTTCCATCTTTTCATCAAAGTCATCAATAAGATCTTGATGTTGTTGTGTGTAGGCTTCTATCAGTTTGTTTGTATGCACCTTACATGCTTCAATTGCCTTTTCTTCTTGTTTATCAACAACTTCACTTTTGGCATCCAACAGCTTTTCTGTGTCTTTTATGTCAGCAGACAATTTATCCAACATCTGTTGAAGATTTTTCAATTCGTCACTTTTTTGTATGCCAGAAGCAAGGGCTGGTAAATGGTTTACATCACCACATTGAACATGCTCATTATCCTTGCATTCTGAACATGCCTCTTTGCTACACTCAGAGCAGTAAAACTTGATCAGCTGTTCAGAATGATCGGAACACTTTTCTAAATAGAAATCCTGTGGCATACTGTCACTATCTTGAATTTTGTGAGCTTTGAAATGTCTCCTATGATATACTTTGCAGGTCTTACATTTATATTCCACGCAATCCACACAGAAAGCCACAGCTGTAGCATATTCTCCAGTGTGTCTATCACATTCTTCACAGTACATTTCTTCAATTTCATCAGAGTCTTGAATAAGTGAAGCACTGCCATTACCAGTTATTTTTTCGTTCCTTTGAGCCATTTCGAAAAATACCTTATCCTTTCCCTTGAAGTAAAGTACAGTGTAATCAAGTTTGAATGGTTTTCTTTAAGAGATTTTTTATGATTGTTTTTGAATTTTATTATAAATATATATATATATATATATATATATATATATATATATATATATATATATATATATATATATATATATATATATATAATGTTATGTTATCATATGAGGGACCAAAGTATTTGTTTTATTTTATCATATGATAGTTTGATAAGCCTGTATCAATTTGATAATGTTTAAGGTTAAAATGTATGCCCTTGTTATCAATAAAATGTCAGTTCTTTCATGTTGTAAAATTATTTTATCTCCGACTTTTTTACATGACCCTTAGGCAATCATAATGTAGAGGAATAATACTTGATCTTAAAGTGTATGTGCAATTAAAAGAAGCAAATGAGAGTACTACCTTTTAATGAATTTTCGATACCAACATTAACAACATCTTGTTTTTAAATGGCTGATGCATATGCTTTTTCTTTTATGGAAAAAATATGTGAAAAATGGGGTTTTGTCTGGACTACAAAAGTTATAAAAACCATGGTCTTAGAGTAAACATCGGTTATGCCCTAAATGTTACTTAGTTTTTATGCCCCTGTCATGATGATAAGAGGTTACATGCGTTTGAAAACCTTGTACTGCTCATAACTCTGTCATGCTTCAAGGGATTTTGAAATAATTTGGCACAAATGTGTAGCATGATGAGACTGTGTTTCATTCATGGCCATGACCTAGATCCTTAGCTCCAAGTTCAAGGTCACACTTTGTCACCAGTCACCTTAGTGCAGTAACAGGTTTACTCCTATAAAATTTTATAAGGAGTTAATCCATTACTGTACTTAAGTGACGACTAAGAGATCAAAGGTTAGATGTTAGAATATCTTGTCTAGCCAATAAATCTGTCATGCATCAAGGAATTTGAAATAACTTGAAAGGAGAGACAATGTGCCATGTGCAGGACCTAGACCCCAAGCTCCAAGGTCAAGGTTGTACTTGGTAGTTTATAAATAATTTCATGTTTGCCTATTTACGCTAAAGGAAAAATTCCAACATTTTTAGCTCGACTATTCGAAGAATATGAGAGCTATTGTAGTCGCCCCGGCGTCGGCTTTGGCGTCCGCCTCCGCGTCGGCATCTGCATTGGTTAAAGTCTTATGTAAAGTCAAATATCTCAATTATTGCTTGAGATATTCAACTGAAACTTACAATACTTATTTATAGTAACAAGGTACATCAGATTGACAAGTTGGATAACTCTGCCTACAATATTGACAGAATAATGCCCCTTTTTATCTTAGAAATTTTGGTAAAAGCTTTTTTGTAAAGTCCAATATCTCAATTATTGCTTGAGATATTCAATTGAAACTTACAATACTTTTTAATAGTAACAATGTACATCAAATTGACAAGTTGGATAACTCTGCCTACAATATTTACAGAATTATGCCCCTTTTTAACTTAGAAATTTTGGTAAAGTTTTTTTGTAAAGTCAAAGATCTCAATTATTGCTTGAGATATTCAATTGAAACTAACAATACTTATTTATAATAACAATGTACATCAGATTGAGAAGTGTGATAACTCTGCCTACAATATTTACAGAATTATGCCCCTTTTTAACTTAGAAATTTTGGTTAAAGCTTTTTTGTAAAGTCAAATATCTCTGGTCAATTATTGCTTGAGATATTCAATTGAAATTTACAATACTTTTTTAAAGTAACAATGTACATCAGTTTGCAAAATTGCATAACTCTGCCTGCAAAATTTGCAGAATTATTTGCTCCTTTGAAACTTCGTCGCCCTAATTTCATAATGATGTAAGTCGTATTTTTACCATTTTGAGAAAATCGACTTCAAAGTTTTAACAGGCTATATCTTCACACTTACTCAACCAATTTTAATATAAAATATATCATAGTGTGCAGAATTATTTTAACTTTTACACTTTTAATTACGAAGAAGTTCCTGTAGATAGTTTTTTTTAAAAATCAAAATAAAAAAAATGGAAAATCACTGAAAAATATATTTTATTGACAAAAATACAAGAACCAGTATGCTGTAATAAGTTACAGCAATGTGACCCTAAAATATTATTACATTTAGGAGTTACAACAGTGTGAAATAATGACTATTTTACTGTTTTATACTGAAATTATATTAAATTTAGACGTAACTAGAAATTGAATGCTTTAACGAATAGTCTGGATCCACATTTATTTAGGCACCACAGAGCATGGAATGTGATCAGGATCAAAACAGAAAATTTAGTCTTAAAAGTCAATAATAGAAATCCAGACAATGCGGTGAAGTGTGAATATAGCCACGAACAGGTATTTTAAGGTTGAAATTGAACTCTGGCTTCATTAATTTATCATATGACCATTTACACGAAATAGTGAGCCTTGCAAATAAACAAAAAAAAGAAAATATTACTGATTTTGTAAATGTATCACATTGAGTTAAACAAAACGAAAACAAAATTTAGAAACATCGTCATTGTATTGATATTTACCACATTCAATAGCAAAACTTATATCATATGATATGCTATTTTCACATTAAGACTGTACACTATAAAATATTTGTAATTCAGATTTACTTTTGGTTTCGTTTATTATATCATTAATTCATTCCAAATTCAATTTTGAATACCTGTAGCTTGCAGACAAACAGCATGTTGAACATAATTTGACTTACAAAACACACACAAATGTTTGAAAGATGTAACTGCTTAAACTTTGAAAAACAACATCAACAATTAGTTCCTTTCTCTGTAACATAAAAAAGAATAAACCTATGTATTCTACTTTTCTAAGAACAGCATTACTTAATGTTTTGTTTAAAAAAAAGAAAAATATGAAACACAACTCAAAGCTCACAAATTTTCAAAGATGCTACAGATCTGGATATGGTGTTTCAATGAACTACTGTACTTCAATTACTACATGTATTTATATATAAAGTGTCATACAACTTCTTTACATACAATAACAATTAAGTATACGTTTGCTTTTAATGTTTTTAACTGAACTGTTTACATCAATAACTCATTCGTATAAAAGCAATGCTCAATATTTAAGAGTTTCAGTCAAATATTAATTCTATTTTACTTCAACAAACGTTTGATGAAACAAATGATTCCTGAATGTTTTTATATGGTCTTAAGACTTTGTAACATTTCTTCACAAAATCATTTTTTTTCTACGTTTCAATCGAATGAAAATTTTTAACCATGCATATTTTTTTCTTTTTAAAAAATAGTTTTTGTAATGGATAATTTTCAGTTCAAAGGTTCAAATCACTTGATAATTACAGGTAGTATTACCTTACGAGTTAAAAGTAGATGTACAAGAATTATTTTTAACTTAGAAACTTAGATTAATTTTGCTTTGCATGTTCCAATTACATAATAAATTTTAGCATAAGATTGAAAATGATTATGTTGAGAAAAAGGTATAGACTGACACCCTGTTGATTTATGCAAAATAGCTGAGTAGGTCAACAGGGATATTGTCAACTTTAAATAACCAATAGTCTTTGACGTTTGGACGTACTGTTTTAAGAACACAAACGAGTGATGTAGGAATGAACACGTCTGCCATTTTAAAAGTGTTTTGTCTTTCTTTCTATATGACAGTTGGTACTGTTAACCACTCTGGATTGCATAATGCCTTGGACAGTAAAACTTTTGATATTTTTGTGATCGTTATATGAAAGTGCAGAATTCTGAAATTATGAAAACTATGAAATTATGAATTATGAAATGAACATGAAGTAAACAACACCTAATTTAACATCAGTTATGAGTGGTAAAGTTATATGTGTAATTTTTATTCGAATCACTTAGCACCAGTACGGTAATTTGTCTAATATAGTTAAAGACAAAATGTAACAATTAATGGCAGTAGTATGTTTCCCATTTGATGAGTTTTGTTTGTAAGTTAAAAGTATAAACAATTTAATGCAAAACCTGATTGTACGTATTTAATCTGAATATGTACAAGGTAACATTGATCAATCAATCATATAATCAATCACATATCAAGTTATGAACAGCTAATACTTGTGAATATTGAAAGTTTGTATCAATTTATCCGATTACCATGCTATCCGAATTTCATAACACAGCATGGTGCTTTGAATTTAGCTCAATGGTTAAGGGTAGTTATTATTTCTTTTTAAGGTTTGAAACAGTTCAATAAAATATTAATCTATAGATAATTAGATAACATCTAACGCAAAACACGTACATGTTATCAAGAAATATAAAACGTAAAATGTCATTCCTGATACCTTGAAAAATCTGCCATTTAGTCATAACAGCATCACGTGACTAGAATCTTAACAAACTATTGGTTCAGAAGTTACGATATTATGGACTGTATTTTTATCACAATTTTTGGACTTACAGCACTCTGACCCATTCAATATATTGTTACAGGCAAGAACCAGAGTGATGTTGTTCTTACCATTAGATAGAGCAAAAAATTACGAACATTTTGATACCAAACACTCATTTTTTTCAAAATTGGAGTTACGACACTCTGGAATTAGGGCGACGACTTAGAAATTTTGGTTAAAGGTTAAAGGTCTTCAAAGATATTTACTTGAAACTTTACACATGTACTTAGGGTCATAATTGGAGGGTCATAATTGTATGTCACTGACCAAGTTCCATAACTTTATCTTGCATTTAGGCTGATTCATCTCCCCTTTTCTACTTAGTCTCTTAGTTAATGTTTACATGCAAGTTTTACATATCTCAATAACTATTAAAGATATTTATTTAAAACTTCACATATGCATTTAGGGTAATAATTGTAGGTCACTGACCAAGATCCATAATTCTATCTTGCATTTAGGCTGAGTTTTCTCCCCTTTGAAATTCATGGTAAAGTTTTGCTTGTAAGCTGTCATCTCCATAACTACTGAAGGGTTTGTGCCTTTTTTGGGACAATTTTATGCATTCATAATAATAAAGCAGTGATTTACTTGATAAAACATCTTAATAACAAGCCTTTGTACCTTTTCGGTCAATTTTATGTATTCATAGGTAATTAGCATTATTATTCTCAATAAAACACCCTTGTGACAACTTTTTGAATAGTCGAGCCAATACTGTCCTCCGACAGTTCTTGTTCTTTCATGCAAATATTTTGGAAATCTCTTTATTCAAAATTCAAATAATTATTTTATAAACAGAAAGGTGCAGATATATAGCTTAATACACTGTGATTAAAATATAGCAGTTCAGTAACTTAAAATATAGCATTCCAGAAACTTTAAGTATAGCAATATATTTCAGAGACGTAAAGTAATGCATAAAGGGATCTAGCTGTTCTGTAAACTGCCTTTTTCTATGTTAATAGGCAAGGTTTTCAAAATGCTTGTTTTCTGCTTAAAAAAGGATAGGTATATTTTTTTTTAATCTGATTGAACAACAAAGAAAATAATTTACACATTGAAACAGCACTTACAAACGAAGTATATTACCAAAAAGAATGCAAAATAAGCAAAAAAAAGCCCTTACTGCGTTTGTAACACAGTAGAAATATGGTGATAAATACTGCATAATCAGTCCTTAATCAAGCATAACATATAAATTATTACTTGACTTTTAAATCCTTTTACTTTTCTTAAAATCTTAGTACATTTTTTTTTTCAAGTTTAATTTTTTCGGACTTTTTCGACTAATCTTGTGACACACTGTACATAAATCAAACTTATGATTCATGATTGATAAAAGCCAGCTTACCTGAATATTTCTAGTTAACTGTTTGATTAGTAAATCTGTTTACCTTGATATCCGAGGATTATGGAAAATGAAACTACACTTTTTATTTTGAGATGATTGGATACTTTTCTTTATCTACAGTCTGCTGGCAGTAAAAAGGAAGATAAAAAGAAGAAAGGAAAGAAGGATGAAAAAGGACGTCCACAATCTGCAGTGGAGAAGAAACCTCAACAACAACAACAGAGAAAGAAGCCAGAACTTGTTGATATCATTATTAAAGATGTTGAAAATACAGCAATTACAGGTATGTTGTCTAAACTTTTTCAGATTTAGATTTTTTGTGAAAAATAATGAGCATGTGTAAAGGTTTCTATATTGAATTTTGATATGCATTCCTTTTGTAAATGTAAATTCTGCTCTGGTGGCATATAAATCAGATTATCTTAGAGCTGTAATCTTTATGTTGCCCTGTATTTAACAATAATTTTCTGACAATGTTTTTTTTTATTACAAAATGTGTTATCTTATTTATTTATTTCATTGGTATATGTGGAGGTTTGGCTTTCATGGCCAAGTGGTTATGATTAGTGGTTCACTTATACTTGTAATAATGAGTGGAGTTTTCCTACATCAGTAAAGCTTTAAAGACGTCATATGACATTTATAGTGCTTTTGTAACTAAGGTTGTTGACTTGAAAACCATTTTCCCCTCAGGCCTGTTGGTTAGATTCTCGTCAGGGACTTTAGATTGTTTTCATGTTGAAAAGTTATCCAGCTAGCTTATGATAAGTTGTTGGCTCTACTCAGGTGCCCTTATGCCTGAAAAATGCACAGAGGGGCACCCAAGATCTTCCTCTACCAGTAAAGCTGGAAAGTCGTCTTAAAAAAAGAGAAGAAAAAGACTAAATTGATCATAACAATTAAAAGTGATACATGAATATGATTTCAGATGGTCCTACAAACAATAAAGAGATAGTAGAAGCTCAAGTCAATGACGATGATGAGAAGTTAGAAGATGACACACAAGCTACTGATGTAAGTCTTCATAATATAACAGTGACAACAGAAAGCAATAAAAGACTCAATAACTAGTATTTTGTCATGTGAAAACATAAAGTCTATGTCAAAGAAATGAAATAGGAGATTTGAATTTTAAGATATATCAGTATAAGTTTTGTGATTATTGTTAGCTCGACTATTCGATAAGAATAAGTAGAGCTATTGTAGTCACGCGAGCGTCGGCGTCGGCGTCTGCGTCGGCGTCGGCGTCGGCGTAACCAGTTATGTTAAAGTTTTTGTAATAGTTTAAATATTTTCAAAGTCCATTGATATATGGCTTTGAAACTTTGCACACTTGTTCACCATCATTACCCCAACCTGTAGACAGGAGGAGGTAACCCTATCAAGCATTTTGACCGAATTGTGCCCCTTTTTCGACTTAGAATTTACATTAAAGTTTTTGTAATACCTCAAATATTTTCAAAGTTCATTGACATATGGCTTTGAGACTTTGCACACTTGTACACCATCATAACCCCAACCTGTAGACAGGAGGAGGTAACTGTATCAAGCATTTTGACAGAATTATGCCCCTTTTCGACTTAGAATTTACATTAAAGTTTTTGTAATACCTCAAATATTTTCAAAGTCTATTGACATATGGCTTTGAAACTTTGCACACTTCTTCACCATCATGACCCCTACATGTAGGCAGGAGGAGGTAACTCTAACAAGCATTCTAACAGAATTATGCCCCTTTTTCGACTTAGAATTTACGTTAAAGTTTTTGTAATACCTCAAATATTTCCAAAGTCCATTGGCATATGGCTTTGAAACTTTGCACACTTGTTCACCATCATGACCCCAACCTGTAGACAGGAGGAGGTAACTGTATCAAGCATTTTGTATAGATAAAGCTGGAAACTCGCCATAGAAAGTAATATCTTATGTGATATAAATGACAAATAAGTTGAGTTAACATTTTTAGAATGCTTCTTGTTTGACCTGTTTAAAATATATATTTTCTAAAAGCTATATCTTATGCCTTTTATTTTTTCAGGATGTGGATATATCACGGAACATTCCAGGAAAAGTGAAGGTCACAGCCCCAAACATTAGCAAGGTGAAGAGGAAGTGAATTAAAAATCAGACAATAAACCTAATTGTGCAATTGAATATTGTAATGATAAATCAATACTTACATTTAAAATGGATTATGAAACTATGATTTCTTTTCAAATAATTGTTGAATAAATACATAAACATTTCTTTTATCATGACATGGTATTTAGTACTTTTTCTAAAAAATTACATTTTGTAGAACTTTCAAATGTAGGAACTAAACTGTGTGAAAAAGTAAATATTTAATAGTCCATTAACAGTTTTGTTATAATGTAAATTTTATAATGCAAGTTATTAATCAGTATTGTAATTATACCCATGCATTTTTAAGTTAATGTCATTTCAACTTTATGAACATTGTATTGTATGTGTATATGTAATTATTTTTTATATTTTTCCTTAAAGTTAATATAGTCATGTTTAGTATCAAAATGATCATATGTTTTTATAGAGTTTTGTTAGGAACTTTAATTACAGTAAATTCCAAGTTTACTTCAATAAGGAGCTTTTTCTTAAAAATTGTTTTTAAACATATAAAAATTTCCCATACTATAAAAACAACTTTAAGCAAAAATGTTTAATACAATATGGCATTTTAAGTCTTCCTGCTTAATAGTGGCACTGGTTAGTTACAATTACTCTCAAAGGCTTAAGTCCAAGCCAAATTGTTTATTATACAAAAAAGGAAGCCAGGGTGATAACTTTTCACAAATACAAATAATAAAAAGGTGATTTGTTGTTAACTTATGTTTGCATAGTTAATGGAAATGGCTTCCTGTTATTTTTCACAGCTTTCGGCACTTTTCTGTATAAAAACTCGGTGGATTTTTCTATGGATATCATTCACCATCCATCGTTTTAAAAATAAAGTTGTGTTTAAATTTATATTGGATTTTGGAATTTTATATTAATTTTCAGGTAAATTTATTTTTATGTTCTTTTATTATCATTTTTTTAAAAACTTTATTTTGTACAAGATATTGTACTCTTTGTAATTATGATATTTCATTAATTTCTTAACATTAATTATTCTTAGCTTTATTGTATATAACATTGTTATGTGTGTTTATAAGTTAGTACTTATAGTACAAAGTAGCATTATGCTGATAAAACTTGTGTAGCTATAATAAGAAATATTCTATCTACTTTCCTTGATATTTCTTAAGTATAAAAAAAGAATGTAACAAAATATAAAATATAAGAATAGAGAATTTAAATCTAACATGCATTATTTATATATCAATTATTGTAACTAAATCTGTTATATTACATCAGGCTAAATTTTTGTTACAAGAATTATTTTATACTATTTTCTTAAAATCTAAATTCTTAATTTTTATCTGCAAACAATGTGTTTTTGATTCAATTAATTATTTTGTTCTTTGTGCATATTAAATACATTTTAAATAAATTAATCTTGGTCAATTAAACAAGATAATTCGGCTAATTTCTATATTTTAATTAAGTACCTAATCGCTCGGGTTAAGTCATCGACCAAGATCTCGGTAAACCTTTTCACTGCCAAGCTAATTACTAAATTGTTACTTATGTTGGTTAAATTAATTGTATAATTATGTATATCATTTTGCTTCTTCTCCTATGTAAGAATGCAATGTATACCATCAATGTTACAATTTCAATTAAAAATTAGTTTACTTAATTACATACGTATGCAATTATTTTATAATTTACCTATGTTATTATAAAATATATTGCTATCATCATTCACCATCCATCGTTCTTAAAATAAAGTTGTGTTTAAATATATATTGGATTTTGGAATTTTATATTGATATTCAGTTTCCCCACCCAGTCCAAATTTGCGTTATAACAGTTTGTTGTGAAGATAGCTTTGAGCTTCTTTGAAACATTAAGCTCATCAGAATTTTTTTACCAAAAATTTAACTTTAACTAAATGTGAGGTTAACTTGAGCTAAATGTGAGATCTTTACTTTGTTTACTCACGGTTTCTTCTTTAATTTTACTAGTATAAGAAAATTTACTTAAGCTCAAGTGTTAAAGTTTGTGTGTGAACAAATTTATCAAGAATTACCATCTTTTGTTAAGTTTTATCATTTCTTAAATGCATCAATGTGAAAAAGTAAAATAAATGGCTTTTAAAAATTCTGATTCTTGTTTTGTTGATGTACATAAACATAAATTCAAAAAAGAAATACAACTTGACCTTATGTTGATTGATATTTGCAAGTGTATTGGCAAATTGTTAAAAGAAGTCATTTATACATTTTAAAGATTAAAATAGGTGGTAAAGGGGCGTGTATTGTGCAGCAGAGGGAAAAGAAAATGCAATTTTCTTTGTTTTCAAAGGATCTACACTACTCAGAGGCTCCTTTTATAAATGAAACATAATCTAAAAGATTTGCTTTATAAGCTAAAGTTTTCATACAGGTCATGTCCCTTTGAAAGGAACCTTAATTCTTATTTACCTTTCTGCAATACAAAAAACTGACCCAGACTAATGCATATATGAGGGAAACACCTATGCACTATGACCTTAACTGTGTCTGGTGTAACTAAAATGGACCTTTCCGTTTTTTTGCAGCGGAACATTTAGCCACACCTTTTCCATTCATTGCTAGGTCAACTGCTCACAAACAGTATCACAAACATAACTGCATGTTCGTTTGTGTAAACCAGGTCAACCAGTGACTATGTATTATTCCAGTGTAGCAATTGGATAACAAGTAAGCCAATTTACATAAGACTTTAATGTAAAAAAAAAACTTAAGTTGTGGATCAGCCTGAATCTTTTTTGTCTTAAAAGTTGATTCTGTTTAATCATTTCAAATTAACAAATGCTTGACTGGTATGCAATGTTTGATTTAAAACTATGGCACATTATAAGCTGACGGTAATTACAAATGGAATAATAATCAAGTGTTCAATTATACGTTTGTTTTTTCCATTATATATTCCATAATAGTTATGAAAAAGTTTCAGACTGTATGGTATTTAGTTGAATATGAATGGAAGAAATTTTGTTCAGGTATGTAATAAACCTATAATTCAGGCCATATGTAGTGTAGCGCTCAGATCTGAATAACTCAATATGAACAAGTCAACACAATATCAAGTTTATAAACGTCATATATATGTATTTATTTTATATGAAATACTATTCACTAAGACAACACAATTGCTTAAACAATGTCTTTAACAACTTTACAATTCTTATACAAATACTTAAAACAATAAGAATTAATGCCAATTGCGTATTTAGCATAATTTAACCTTAAGTGAGTGAGTCTGCTTTAACATCAAAAACTACACTAAATAATCAAATATTTCGCTCCCCTTATATACTAAAATACTTTACGCCTAAGACTTAATAACTTAATAATTCATAGAGTATATATGTATTTGTGGACAGCTAAACAATTAAATAACCCATTATGTCTGCACGATCTAAAGTACAAAAGGTACACTTCCCGTTTTAGTGATGACAGATCTATTAATTAACTAAATTAAGCATAGTGTTCGTGACAGCTCATTAAATTAATATATCCGCCTATGCATACTGTTAACTAATTACCGGCTAATTACAGTTATCCTACAATATCTTCCCGACCAATTAAAAATACTTACAGGTATTTTAAAATAAAACTTATTTAAAGAAAAAAATATGTCACTTTTTAGTATGAAAGACTAAGAATAATTTCAAGAGTGAAAAAGGAAAAAAAAACGAACGCAAAAATAAAAAAAAAAGGTAAGCAATTGACATTTTACAATTTATATATAGCAAGAGATATAATTATTGATATACAATTTTAATAATTGAAAGTAATATTATTTAAAACAAATCATATTTAATAGTTTTTTTTTCTTTTAAATATTTCTGTTAACAAACATAGAAGAAAATTTATAGAATATAATTTTATACTAATATGAGAAAACAAGAAATGTTCCGTATATATATGTATCATAAAATAACTATTTTCACTGATTGAATTGTCCTAAAATAACACTGTTCTGTATTTCGAGAAATAACTGAAATAACACTTATCTGTCCTAAAAAAAACATAATCACTTTTTTAGTTTTTAATTAAATTTTAACACCGGTATGTCCTAATTTTTAAATTCACATTTTAAATTTTTTTCTTTTTTTTTTTTGACGAAAGCAGAATCTCCCAGAATAGAATTAATTACACTATGTATAAAATAAGGAAACACAAAAAACACTTTTTTTTAAGAAATATAAAATTAACACATATTCTTTATAATTTGTCCATGAAACGTTGTTTTTCTTTTCTGCTTTTTTAATATCTATCCTGGAGATTATGCCTCCGTGTTAACCTGAAACGACATAAAATATAATTAAGAAACATGTACATGTAATGTGTTGTAACCATGTAACAAAAATGAGATAAAAAAAACAAATATTTTAAATTAACCAGTGGAAGTCTTAAATTCTTATCATTTATATAATACGGAAATGATGCAGTATAAATTGTTATAAAAGTAATTACTAAAAGTGTTAAAAACAAGAAGAAAAAAATGAAAAATAAAAACAATAAAAGAAATATATAAAACCCGTAATATACCCATAACCAGAACCTGAAAATAGAAATCAAAAAACTATTATAAATGTATATAAAACTCTGTCACCAATAACGATATAAACAATGTTATTTAAAATTAAAGAATAAAATATAAAAAAATTGACCGAATAAGATATGAAAGATTTGCCATGAAATACTTAATATCTAAATTTTCTTTTTGTTTTATTTAAAAAAAATTTCCGATTTTTTTTTAAAAAAAATAATTTTTAACATAAAATAAAAATAAATTTTGTGTCGTCTTTTAATCCACTTCGTCCATTTTACATCTTTGGGACGTCTGCCAGAGCGGATAAAAGTGACTTGCTGTCGCATGTTCAGCCTTGTTTAATAAACGGTCAAAAAATCGCCCCCATAAACCCGCGTAATTACAAGTTTTGTCCAAGCTACCGGTGAAAATTTCCAATTTTTTGACAATGCCGCGGGCGTTGATTTGTCTGTACCTTCTGAATTCCCGTTCTCCGTTAGGGGAAAAAGCCAATTTAACTTCCCCGTTAAGTTTAGAACAATTTTAGAATGACACCATGTAAAGTTAGAAATGATGTCAATTTTGTGCACCACATGATGAGTACATTGCGTGTCTGACTCACAGATGTCACAGTATGGTGCTGACCGTTCTTTGATTGCACCAAACACCTTAGCAACCAAATATTCCAACAGATATGCTCTGAAGAGCATACCAATATTGAAACGACGAATAAATGTATTCATTTTTTCAACGGTAGTAAAAAAACACAAAAAAAAACTGTAGATTTTCAAATGTACACGAGTATTGTCCAAACACAATTTCCTTAGAAAAATTCCTTTTAGTAGTTAGAAGTAATAATTTCTAACACTGTTCCAAATTTACAAGTTCAAAATATAATAAGTCCTTGTAATATAAAAATAACACACTGTGAACAGTTTAAAATAACAAAGTATCAATAAGATATCCTTGTAAATGGAGTACAGTAATTCGCACAGAAAAAGTTTGACTACTGTACTGCAAAGATGGTTGACTAACGTTTTTATACGTTTCATTTTTAACAAACTAATTCGTCAAACTGATAACATTGTCATTTCTTTGACAGTTATTTATTATCTAATGTGCAACAAAAGTGCGTTTTATGTATATTTCAGACTTCACTCATTTATAATTATATGTTAAGTTGACAGTTCTCCTATTATCTTGAGAATATCTTCTGATGTTGACGTCTCTGTTACGTTAATGTTGTCTATCTGGAAGTGTTTACAATTTTGGATATAATGAAGAGAGGATTGAACCCTGAGGCTGCTCCATTTTTTCTGAAGAATTGTCGTCCATCTCTGACATCTTAGACACGAGCTTATGGAGCAATTTATCTCTACTTCCTGCATTCATTATCAACTCTGGACCATGACATTTAACAGAGACATATTTTTTCGAAAGACGTTTTCGTATGAAAAATACACTAATTAAAATCACAATGATCAAAAAAATAACCCCAGATATAATCAAAATAATGCCCCATAAAGGAAACGGTTTATCGCTATCTAACAATATCGTTTGTAGATAATGTAATTTAGAGACTAACGCTTCGAGCGGTATATGACTTATAGGTTTTAAATAAGTTGGTATCTTTATACTTGAAAAATGATGTAAGCTTTCATTAAGTGTCTGAAATAAATGGTTATTTGATGTGTTTGACCAGAACAATGTATTTGAGTGCAGATCTCCATTTAAAGAATGAACTGTGGAATTCTTATTGAACCAAGGCGTCAAAATCAGGTAATTATTAAAAGCTTTACAGTTTTGATTTAAAGAAATTATGGACACCGGTGCTTTTGCTATTACTTCCTGTCTGTTTGTTTGTATATTGTCACATAAGATTACAAACTTTAAATCTTTGTCAGAACTTATAATCCATCGTCCATCAAGAATGTTAATAGCTTTTGGTAACATTGCATTTTGTGTTGACCATAATTTTACAGTTGTTACGAATGTCATTGTCGTCTTGTAAAAATAATGCGGAAATAACACATTTTGGACACACTTCTTTGATAAATTGGGGCTGATATCTCACAATATTTCAAAAAATTATTTTGACAACTATCAAGTTCTTTTCTTGTTAAAACTGACAATTTTGTTCTCGCCTTATTATAGATTAAACCCTCATATTCTAACTTGTATTTAGCAACTACAGACTCTGAAGAGTTATTCGGTGAAGTATA